TAAGTATTGTAAATATTCTCCAGTAAAAAAATACCTGGCTGGGTGAAGCTTATAACTCTTCCCTTTCCAGTCCTTTCACCAGATGGTGAATTGACGTTGCCAGCAGCAGAGGATATTTCTAGCTGAGGGATGAACTGTGGGGGTTTTAGCGCTCTCTGAGCTTAGTTGTTTCCTTGCAGATGTTTTAGTACCAAACTAGGTAATATCATCAGTGCATGAGTTGGTAATGAAACATCTGGGGGGGGGGGAACACAAGGATCCCACAGATCCAGCTTATTTTGGTCTGTTTATAAATGCACTACATCTAATACTGGCCAACTGATGACTCAAAAAATATTCAAAGCAGAAACCAAGGCTTCAGATCTCAATGTACCCTAACACTCAGATGCCTTTACCGTGACTTCCATTCTGTGTTTCTAAGAGCAAACAAGTTGACAATGGACCATCTTTATTTTTACCATCCAAATTTTACTATGCCCAGCAAGGGTTGGGAGCAACCTGTCTCCAAATCCCAGTCAAGGGAACAATGATCAGAGGAGCGTACATCTCCACTCCCTGCTTGAGAGGACCCAGAACATCTGACGGGCTACTGCAAGAAGGAAAAACTTAGATGAAGTTCTTCCATGACCTGATCCAGCAACGTTATTTTCAAAGTTGACTTTAGCTACTACCACTCTTTTTGGTTTACTCATTTATTTATGTATTTTGTTTATTTTTATTACTTATTTTGTTTGTTCATTTATTGTCAAATCCCAGCAATTCAAGACACAATAAGCGTTAAGCAGGACAGGAAGGACCAGGTGGAAATTTGTTAAAGTGAGATCCAACCTAGAACTAAGGAGAAATTTCCTGACAGAGAGAACAATTAACCAGTGGAACAGCTTGCCTCCAGAAATTGTGGATGCTCCAACACTGGAAGTTTTTAGGAAGAGCCGAGGTGGCGCAGCAGTTAGAGTGCAGTACTGCAGGCCACTTTAGCTGACTGTGTTCAGCATGTCAGCGGTTCAAATCTCACCGGCTCAAGGTTGACTCAGCCTTCCATCCTTCCGGGGTAGGTAAAATGAGGACCCAGATTGTTGGGGGCAATGTAAATATATATATACTTTGCTTACTGGTGTACACCGCTTAAAGAGTGCTTGCACTTAAAGCGGTATATAAGTCTCATAAATAAATAAATAAATAAATAAAGAGACTGAACAGCCTTTTGTCTGAAATAGTATAGGGTTTCCTGCCTGGGCAGGGGGTTGGACTAGATGACCTCCAAGGTCCCTTCCAACTTTATTATTACTATTATTATGGATCATCACACAGTCAGCCAGATGTTCAGACTGGATTTGGCATTTTGTCTACCTATCGAGTCCTTACCCAGGACCTGGGATAGGCAGATGTCGATGTTTGATGGTATTACAGATATCGTCGCAGGATGGAAGCAGTTCCTAGTAAGACCGCCTTTTGCAATTGACTAATAGCGAATTTGTCAATGCCAATTGTGTTCAAGTGGTGCTCCAGTTGTTTTGGGATTGCACCAAAGGAGCCTATTACTATTACTATTACTACCTTACTTGCTTTTGCCACAGTCTTTCTATTTCTATTTGTAGGTCTTTGTATTTGGTTATCTTCTCCAGTTCTTTCTCGTTTATTCTGCTGTCTCCAGGCACTGCCACATCCACTATCCAGACTTTTTTGTCTTTCTTATCGACAATTGTTAAGTCTGGGGTGTTATGTTGCAGGTGCTTGTCTGTTTGAATTCTGAAGTCCCAGAGCAGTTTAATTTTATCATTTTCTATGACTTTCTCTATTTTATGATCCCACCAGTTTTTGCTTACAGGCAAATGATATTTTTTGCAGATCTTCCAATGCACCATTGTTGCTACTTTGTCATGCCGCTGCTTGTAGTCAGTCTGTGCAATCTTCTTGCAACAGCTTACCAGGTGGTCCACTGTTTCTTCAGCTTCTTTGCATAGGCGGCACTTACTGTCTGTTGCTGTCTTCTCAATTTTGACTTTATATGCATTTGTCCTTAAGGCTTGGTCTTGTGCAGCCAACTATTTATTATTATTTCGATCATCGCACAGTCAGCCAGATGTTCAGACTGGATTTGGCATTTTGTCTACCTATCGAGTCCTTACCCAGGACCTGGGATAGGCAGATGTGGATGTTTGATGGTATTACAGATATCGTCGCAGGATGGAAGCAGTTCCTAATAAGGCCGCCTTTTGCAATTGACTAATAGCGAATTTGTCAATGCCAATGGTGTTCAAGTGGTGCTCCAGTTGTTTTGGGATTGCACCCAAGGAGCCTATGACTATTGGTACTACCCTTGCTTGCTTTTGCCACAGTCTTTCTATTTCTATTTGTAGGTCTTTGTATTTTGTTATCTTCTCCAGTTCTTTCTCTTCTATTCTGCTATCTCCAGGCACTGCCACGTCCACTATCCAGACTTTTTTGTCTTTCTTATCGACAATTGTTAAGTCTGGGGTGTTATGTTGCAGGTGCTTGTCTGTTTGAATTCTGAAGTCCCAGAGCAGTTTAATTTTATCATTTTCTATGACTTTCTCTATTTTATGATCCCACCAGTTTTTGCTTACAGGCAAATGATATTTTTTGCAGATCTTCCAATGCACCATTGTTGCTACTTTGTCATGCCGCTGCTTGTAATCAGTTTGTGCAATCTTCTTGCAACAGCTTACCAAGTGGTCCACTGTTTCTTCAGCTTCTTTGCATAGGCGGCACTTACTGTCTGTTGCTGTCTTCTCAATTTTGACTTTGTATGCATTTGTTCTTAAGGCTTGGTCTTGTGCAGCCAGAATTAGTCCCTCGGTCTCTTTCTTCAATTTTCCTGCTCTTAGCCATTGCCAGGTTTTATTGTTATCTGCTTTCCCAGCTATTTTTTTCATGTATTGGCCATGTAGTGCTTTGTCTTCCCATGCCTCTATTCTGTTCTTCATTTGGTCTTTCTTGTAGGCCAGTTTGGTCTCTCCAGTAGTTAGTAAGCCTTCCTGATATACTAATTTCAGTGCATCTTCATCATTGTTCTTCAGATATTCTTCCAAAGCCATTTTTTCTTCTTCAACCATCTGATGTACTTGTAGCATTCCACGCCCACCTATTTGCCTTGGTAGATAAAGTCTATCAATGTCACTGCGTGGATGAAGGGCATGATTCATTGTCATTATTTTTCTGGTCTGCCTATCCATTGCTTTTAGTTCTGCTTGAGTCCAGTCCACTATTCCAGCTGTGTACCTAATGACTGGGATTGCCCAGGTGTTGATTGCCTTTATGGTATTTCCTCCATTGAGTTTGGATTTTAAGATCTTCTTCACTCTCTTGATGTATTCACCTCTAATCTTTTTCTTGACTTCAGTGTGCTTGATGTTGTCAGCTTGAAGGATACCCAAGTATTTGTAGTACTCTTCCTCATCCAGACTCTTAATGTTATTTTCGTGGGGCATCTTGATTCCTTCAGTTTTCATTATTTTTCCTTGTTTGATAGTAAGTGTGGCACATTTGTCCAAGCCAAACTCCATTACAATATCTTGGCTATATATACGGACAGTGTTGAGCAGCGATTCTATTTCAGATGATGTTTTTCCATACAGCTTCAGATCATCCATGTAAAGGAGGTGGGATAGTCTAGCAGATGTTTTTGATGTTTGATAGCCATGTCCTGAGTTATTCAGTATTGTTGACAGAGGAAACAGTGCAATAACAAATAGTAATGGTGATAATGAATCTCCTTGAAATATTCCTCTCTTGATATTAACCTCTCCCAGCTTCTCACCATTGATCTGCAACTGTGTCTTCCATTGTGCCATCGATCTTTGCACAAATTTTCTGATGTTTCTACTGACTCCTGTTATTTCTAGGCACTTTATTATCCAATCATGTGGCAGAGAGTCAAATGCCTTTTTGTAGTCAATCCATGCCACATTCAGGTTGGTCTTCCTTCTCTTGCAGTTTTCCAAGATCATTTTGTCTATTAGGAGTTGATCTTTTGTTCCTCTGCTGTTGGGGCGGTTTCCTTTCTGCTCAGGTGGAAAGAGATTGTTTTCAACTAGATGCTGTTGCACTGCATCAGCTACTACACCAGTTAGTAATTTGAAAGTTGTTGGTAAGCAGGTAATTGGCCTGTAGTTACCTGGTGTTGCCCCTTTTGCTGGATTTTTCATTATTAGGTAGGTTTTCCCAGTTGTTAGCCACTTTTCAATTTCTCCTCCTTGTAGTATATTGTTGAACTGTTTGGCAATGAGTGGGTGTATAACAGTTAGATGTTTCAACCAAAACCCATGCAGTTATTATTATTATTATTATTATTATTATTATTAAACAAACAACTCCCCCCTCCAAAAAACCCCCCTTGAGCCCAGCATTTTTAGTTAAAAGTCTCCTAAGGGGTTGGAAAAAGTTCAGACTGAGATTAGAAGGATGATCGTTATTGAACTAAATGATACAATTGTTCGATTTAGATCATAAAAAGCCGATGGCTTTGCAAAACAACTCAGTTTGAAAGAAAAATGATAAAAGTTACAATGTTTGGCCAAAATGCTTCTAAATCACCCAAGTAAGATCACTTCCCCCCCCTTTTTTTAACAAACGCAGGTAGTCCTTGACTTACGAACACAACAGAGCCCCCAAAATTTCCGTTGCTAAGCGAGACAGCTGTTAAGTAGGCTTTGCCTCAATGTACCCCAAAGGTTTGATAAAGCTTTCTTGCCAGGCTGGCTAAGGGAATCACTGTACTTGTTAACAACATGGTTGTAAAGTGATTCTGGGCTTCCCCACTTTGCAACCATCGTAAATACGAATCAGTTGCCAAGCATCTGAATTTTGATCACGTGACCCTGGCGATGCTACAATGGTCGTTAAGTGTGAAAAATGGTCCTAACTTACTCTTCTTTCAGTGCCTTTGTAACTTTGAACGGTCACCGTATGAACTGTTACAAGTCAAGGACTACATGTATGTGTGATCAACAGCATCTACTTTAAAATACGTGTCTTACCAGGCCATCACAGTTGCTCACGGCGACGGAAGCTCCTGCGATATCCACCAGATCCCCGACGTAAGCACAGTTGGTCCGTAGGGATTCCTTCTTCCATAGTCTCTCCGTGACCCCCGTGCCTTGGTCCTGGTGAGCCTCTTCTGTGGCGTTGTAGATGGAGGGAGACTCTTCATACCACTCCACCACCGCGCCAGGAGCTATTAGACGAGTGTTAGACCTCAGTCGGAGGTGAAATTCTCTCCCGAAAGCGGATACGTTAAAGTAGAGTTCCTCGGGTGGACTTGGCAAAACGTCCCTTGCGAGTCTCCTGGAGTGCGTGACAGAAACAAAGTGGGAAACGTAGCTTCCATCGGCGCCGCTGCGGACTGGGATGGTTAAGGCATATGGTTTCAGGCTGTGCATTGTGGTTTCTGTTTTAAAAAGAGAGAGGATTTATTTATAGGTTGATTCCTTGATTCCTTCCCTTCCTCCCTCCCTCCTTCATCTTCCTTCCCTTCCTCCCTCCCTCCTTCCTTTCCTTTCCTTTTCTTTTTCTTTCCTTTCCTTTCCTCCCTCCCTCCCTTCTCTCCTTCCTTCCCTCCCTCTCTCCCTTTTCTCCTTCCTTCCTTCCCTCCCTCCTCCTTCCTTCTTTCCTTCCTTCCCTCCCTCCTTCTTCTTCCTTCTTTCCTTCCCTCCTTCTTCCTTCCCTCCCTCCTTCCTTCCTTCCTTCCCTCCCTCCCTCCTTCCTTTCCTTTCCTTTCCTTCTCTCTCCCTTCTCTCCTTCCTTCCCTCCCTCTCTCCCTTCTCTCCTTCCTTCCTTCCCTCCCTCCCTCCTTCTTCCTTCTTTCCTTCCTTCCCTCCCTCCTTCTTCTTCCTTCTTTTCTTCCCTCCTTCTTCCTTCCCTCCCTCCTTCCTTCCTTCCCTCGCTCCCTCCTTCCTTTTCTTTTCCTTTCCTTTCCTCCCTCCCTTCTCTCCTTCCTTCCCTCCCTCCCTCCTTCTTCTTCCTCCTTCCTTTCCTCCCTCCTTCCTTCTCCTTCTCCTTCCCTCCCTCCTTCCTTTTCCTTTCCTTTCCTTTCCTTTCCTCCCTCCCTCCCTCCCTCCCTCCCTCCCTCCTTCCTCTTCCTTCTTCTTTCCTATCTTCTTTATTCATTCATTCATTCATTCTTCCTTCCTTGGTCAATAAGCATAAAATATTCTTGGGACAAAATTTTGTGCAACTGACAGTCTTGGTTTTGGCCCTGTTAAGATGTCTGAGCCTTGTTTCCTTCACCCTGAGTACCATCACTAAAACCTACATGATATGGAATCCTATCACCATACATGGTGCCTTCCCTAGAAACGGTACTCTGTGGATGCTTAATCTTAGCTAAAATCTGGCTTTTCCAGTCTAGGGCACAGAGTCCTCTCATCAACGTAGCTCTCAAGGACATCCACCCCGCTCCAAAGTCTTATATTGCTTTCTGAGGTGGTCTTCAGAAGATCACAATGGCTTGTCTTCCAGATATCCCTGCAATCACCCAAATAAACAAAGCCAAAATTTAGTTCCCCATAGGAAGATTAGTTTATTACACCCCATAGGAGAAAGGGAGGGATAGCTGCTAAGTAGGCAAAAGGCAGCCTAGAATTTAAAAAAAATCAAGAGCCTAAATGCATTGCACAAGCAATTCCCTTCTATGGTCACTTCATAAAACATAGGAGATGAAAGGCAGGACAGAGCCATAATTCAAAAGAGGACTGGAAGAAGAATGTGAACAGAGTACATCTCCAAAGCTTCGTTCCAGGTATCCTGGATTAATGTCACCAGCAAAAAATGTTCCAATCACGTGTAGTCATGTAAGCAATAATGATGGCTTAAGGAAACTGAGCGCCAAAGAATTGAGGCCATGGAACTATAGTGCTGGAGAAGACTCCTGCAAGTCCCCTGGACTGCAAGGGGATCAAACCGATCAGTCCTAGAGGAGATCAACCCCGACTGCTCTTTAGAAGGCCAGATCCTGAAGTTGAAACTCAAATCCTTTGGCCACCTAATGAGAAGGAAGGACTCACTGGAGAAGAGCCTAATGCTGGGAAAGATGGAGGGCAATAGAAGAAGGGGACAACAGAGAATGAGGTGACTGGATGGAGTCACGGAAGCAGTAGGCGTGAGCTTAAATGGACTCCAGAAGATGGTAGAGGACAGAAAGGCCTGGAGGAACATGGTCCATGGGGTTGCGATGGGTCGGACACGACTTCACAACTAACAACAACAAAGGAAATATAGTGAGCCCACATAGGCTTGGCTTAATGTACAGGTAGTCCTCGACTTATGACCACAATTGAGCCCAAAATTTCTGTTGCTAAGCAAAACAGTTATTGAGTGAACTTTGCCCCATTTTACGATCTTTCTTGCCACAGTTGTGAATCACTGCAATTGTTAAATTAGTAACAATTAGTAACAAACGATGAAGCAATCTAAAGATACTTGAGGGACAGAAATCCTTCCTTAGCTGGTCATTCAAAGAATGGAAACATCACAGATCCCATCCAAGCTAAAAAGTTGACTTCTTTGACTGCAGTTGCAGGCGAGAATAACTGGTTAATAGGATAACAGAGTTGGAAGGGACCTTGGAGGTCATCTAGTCCAACTCCCTGCTCTGGCAGGAAACCCTATACCATTTCAGACAAATGGCTGTCCAGTCTCTTCTTAAAGACTTGCAGTGTTAGAGCATTCACCGCTTCTAGAGGCAGGTTGTTCCACTGGTTAATGGTTCTCACTGTCAGGAAATTTCTCCTTAGTTCCAGGTTGCTTCTCTCCTTGATTAGTGTCCATCTGTTGCTTCTTGTCCTGCCTTCAGGTGCTTTGGAGAATAGCTTGACCCCTCTTCTTTGAGGCAGCCCTTCAAATATTGGAAAACTGCTATCATGTCCCCCCTCGTCCTTCTCTTCATTAAACTAGACCAGGGGTAGGCAACCTTGGCTCTTCTATGATTCATGGACTTTAACTCCCAGAATTCCTGAGCCAGCATGGCATAGCTTGGAGACTCTCCCTTTCCCCTCAGCATGGCTGGCTCAGGAATTCTGGGAGTTGAAGACCACGAGTCATAAAAGAGCCAAGGTTGCCTACCCCTGACCTAGACATACCCAATTCCTATAATGATTCTTTTTACGTGTTAGCCTCCAATCCCCTAATCCCCTTTGTTGCTCTTCTCTGCACTCTTTCTAGAGTCTCAGCATCTTTTTTTTTATATTGGAAATATCGGAAGGCTGCTGTCGTGTCACCCCAGCCCTTCTCTTCGTCTGACTAGACATCCCCAGTTCCTGCAACTTTTCCTCGTGAAGACCAAGGGGAGAAAACTCAACTCAACGAGGTGGGGGGGCCTACTATCTTATTTCACTTGATCAAAAGGCCCAAACGATTACGGCAAAATCCCGTATGTTTTCAGGAGTCTCTCCACGTTAAAGGTGCTTCCTTTAAAACCAGGCAGGCTGATTTTGCAAAAATTAGCCAGCGGAGAAAGAGCTGTCTTTCCTCAACGGGGGGGGGGGGTGTTCCTTGGCAAAAAAAATCCCTCAAGAGCCATTCAATCTTTTCTTGTAGACTCAGAATTAATGACAGGCTCCTTCATTGCTCAAGGATGTCTGGTTTCAGCTTGCAGGGAGCAGCCAAGTCCCCTCTTGAAAAGGCATTGAGCCAACATCAGCCGGTGAAAGTTTGAATGGAAGAACTTAGGCTGGAAATCTGATCTGCGCTGCCCATTTGATCTCCTTTTTTCCCTCCTCTGGCTACAGATCCCGCAGGGTCTTTCGAGGAGATCTAGGACGGCAGATCTTTTCTGACCCCAAAGATGCAGGTAGGTACTCCTTGACTTAGGACCACAACGGAGCAACCACAATATCGGTTGCTAAGCAAGACAATTGTGAAGCGAATTTTGCCTCCCCCCCAAACACCTTTACGACCATTCTTGTTAAGTGACTCGCTGCGGTTGTTAAATTAGTAAGAGGGTTGTGAAGGGAATCGGGTTTCCGCATTGATTTTGCTGGTCAGAAGGTGGCCAAAAGGGATTACGTGGCACCCCCCGGGACACGGCAACTATCATAAATATGAGCCAGATGCCAAGTTTCCGAATTTTGATTGTGTGACCATGGGGATGCTAGTGGTAAGTGCAAAAAACGGTCATACGTTCCCCTTCTTTTACTGCCTCTGTAGCTTCCAATGGCCACTAAATGAACTGTAGCTGAAGATGTCTTTTTTCTTTTCCTCCAGCTGCGATAGCTATTCTTTCTTCATTATCAGTAAGGTAGGAAGCAATGGATGGAAAGATCAAAGAGAGAAGCAACCTAGAACTAAGGAGAAACTTCCTGACAGTTAGAACAATCAATCAGTGGAACAACCTGCCTCCAGAAGCTGTGAATGCTCCAACACTGGAAGTTTTTAAGAAGAGACTGGACAGCCATTTGTCGGAAATGGTATAGGGTTTCCTGCCTGAGTGTGGGGTTGGACTAGAAGACCTCCATGGTCCCTTCCAGCTTCTATTCTATTCTATTCTATTCTATTCTATTCTATTCTATTCTATTCTATTCTATTCTATTCTATTCTATATTCTTTCCTTATATATTCTATTCTATTCTATTCTATTCTATTCTATTCTATTCTATTCTATTCTATTCTATTCTATTCTTATTCTTTCCTATTTTCTATTCTATTCTATTCTATTCTATTCTATTCTATTCTATTCTTATTCTTATTATTACTATTATTATTAATCATTGCACAGTCAGTCAGATGTTCAGACTGGATTTGGCATTTTGTCTACCTATCGAGTCCTTACCCAGGACCTGGGATAGGCAGATGTGGATGTTTGATGGTATTACAGGTATCGTTGCAGGATGGAAGCAGTTCCTAGTAAGGCCGCCTTTTGCAATTGACTAATGGCGAATTTGTCAATGCCAATGGTGTTGTTGTTGTTATCATCATCATCATCATCATCATCATCATCTGCTGATGAATGTATGTGACTCAGGACTTAATTTATGCATTGGCAGACGGTGCTCAACCCCAGAGAATTTTTGCCACCTATTTGCTTTCCAAGATTCTGAGGACCTATCTCTCAAACACAGATGTCTTTCAAAATAGGGAGTCAACCTATTCTCCAAAGCACCTGAAGGCAGGAGAAGAAGCAACGGATGGAAACTAATCAAGGAGAGAACCAACCTAGAACTAAGGAGGAATTTCCTGACAGTGAGAACAATTAACCAGGGGAACGACTTGCCTCCAGATGTTGTGGACGCTGTAGCAGTGGAAGTTTTTAAGAAGAGACTGGACAGCCATTTGTCTGAAATGATATAGGGTTTCCTGCCTGAGCAGGGGGTTGGACTAGATTAGGGGTAGACAACCTTGGCTCTTTTATAACTTGTGGACTTCAACTCCCAGATTCCTGAGCCAGCCATGCTGAGGGGAAAGGAATTCTGGGAGTTGAGGTCCACGAGTCATAAAAGAGCCAAGGTTGCCTACCCCTGGACTAGATGACCTCCAAGGTCCCTTTATTATTTTATTACTATTATTATAATACCGTAAACGACCAAAAACCCACCAAGCTGATGGTCATTGAACAAATCAATCCAAAATCCTCATGAGAGCCACTGTTCTGAGGTCACGTGATCACTATTTGTAACCTTCCCAGCTAGCTTCCAATATGCAAAGTCAATGAGGGAAGCCAGATTTGCATAATGACCTAACGATTCAGGCAACAGAAATTCGGGAATTTGGCAACTGGCTCATACTTAGGATGGCTGCAATGTCCTGGAGTCGCTGGATCATCTTTGGCTACATTCTGACAAGCATAGTCAGTGGGAGAAGCCAGGTTCACTTTACAGTATAACGTGTTACTAACTTAACAACTGCAGTGATTCAGTTAACAACTGTGGCAAGAAAAGTCATGACCAAACTCACTTAATATCTGTCGTTGGTTTTGGTGGCTGTGGTTGTTAGGTTTGGTAAGACAGCCAGCCAGATGTTCAGACTAAATTTGGCATTTTTATTCACCCATCGCGTCCTTCCCAAAGACCAGGGAGAGGCAGATGGTGTTTGACAGCATTAGAGATATTTTTGCAGGATGTAAATTATCCTGCATAAAGCTGCCTTTTGCAATTGACTGGTGGGGATTTTGTCAATGCTGGATGGTGTTCTTGTGGCGCTCCAGATGTTTTGGGATTGCACTCATGGTGCCTATAACTATGGGTGCTATTTTTGCTTTCTTTTGTCACAGTCGTTCTTCTTCTATTTGCAGGTCTTTTTATTTTGTGATTTTTTTTTCCTCCGTTTTTTTTCTCTTGTATTCTACCATCTCCAGATATTGCAATATCCACTATGCAGGCTTTTTGTGTGTGTCTTTCTTATCAACAGTAGTTAAGTCTGCAGTGTCATGCAGGAGGGGCTGGTCTGTTTGAATTCTAAAATCCCAGAGTGCTTATTATTACTTATTATTGTGTATGAATGGCTGTGAAAGCTGGACCATAAGAAAGGCTGAGCGCCAAAGAATGGAGGCCTTTGAACTCTGGTGCTGGAGAAGACTCCTGCGAGTCCCTTGGACTGCAAGGCGTTCAAACCGGTCAGTCCTAGAAGAGATCAACCCCGACTGCTCTTTAGAAGGCCAGATCCTGAAGCTGAAACTCAAGTCCTTTGGCCACCTAATGAGAAGGAAGGACTCACTGCAGAAGAGCCTAATGCTGGGAAAGATGGAGGGCAAGAGAAGAAGGGGATGACAGAGAATGAGGTGGCTGGATGGAGACACTGAAGCAGGAGGCGTGAGCTTAAATGGACTCCAGAATATGGTAGAGGACAGGAAGGCCTGGAGGAACGTTGTCTGTGGGGTCGCGATGGGTCGGACATGATTTCGCAACTAACAACAACAACAATTCTGTATGAACTGGTTGAGTTATATTTTTTTTTTTTAAATTAGCCACTCAGAGCTTGGATGAAGGGGGTTAAATAAATACTGAATGCCAGTAAACAAATAAAATAGCAACTAGCAGAGCACAAACAAATATGGTATGCAAATAAATAAACAACAGAGCAAATAAGCCAATTGGTGAAAGCCACTTACCTGTTTGAACGGTTTCTTGAAGAATCGCCTGGAAGAAATCAGAGAAATATTAATTGACTTCTGAGCAGAGAGGGAAGGAGGCTCAAAAAAGCCATTTTTGCAAATGTGTCCTAGTCAAACCCAAAGGCGCTTTTTGTCTTTTTGTTTCTCCAAAGTCTATGGAGATTCTCAGTCATCCAGGTCATCCAGTTGTCCCAAAGATGCTTTTTCACGAGGCAAGCGGACTTTCTTGTTTTTCTTTAAAGACGTTTGAAAGAGGGGGTCAAAGAGGCCATCTGTGTCAAAACTGAACAGCCCTCTCTCAACAGAGAGAGAGGATACGACATCACCTACCTCCAGTCTACAACACAGTCCTTTCAACAGTCCCAAGAAGGCTCCACACCCATTAGCACTACTCAAGTGACCCTGACGACACAGATAAACCTCCAAGTGGCTTCAACGACTCTCTAAAAGGATGCAAATGACCAGCTGTCTGCGAGGAGTATAAATCTTTCCATTCCCCACCATCCGATCAGAGCTGAGGAAGCTTCTTGGATGAGAAGCGAAACATCTTCAAAGGAAAACCAGAAAGTCCAGTTGCCTCTTGAAAAAGGCACCTTTGGGAACAACCATGACCTGGATGACTGAGAATCCCCCTAGATATACTAGTCGAAGCATCCCTGAAATGCCAGGATAAAGTTAATCAGGTTTTCTGGTCTGTTTCTGGCCAAGGTGAAGACAGAGACAAGAGGCAGAGCATCAAAGAAAGATTTCAACAACTGCCTTTTAGATGCCTTCTGTGCAGGGAAGGTCTAATGCTATACGAATTCAGTAAAAAGGATAAATCTGGGCTATGTCTATCTAGATGTCCTTCAGCCTTCTTCTGGACCTTTCTTTCTTCTTCACAACACCACCTTGGCAGGAACTGTACAGGTGGTTCTTGACTTAGTAACCATTCATTTAGTAACAACACTGAAAAAAGTGACTTATGAACGTTTTTCACACTTACGCCCACCTGTTGCAGCATCCCTGTGGTCATGTGATCAAAATTCAGATGCTTGGCAACTAAATTTTGATCACATGATCATAAGGCTGCTGCTGCAGTGATCATACAAGTGTGAAGTCATAAGTCATCTATTCTATTCTATTCTATTCTATTCTATTCTATTCTATTCTATTCTATTCTATTCCATTCCATTCCATTCCATTCTATTCTATTCTATTCTATTCCATTCTATTCTGTTTGATTTAATTCGATTCTTCTTATTTCTATTCTATTATTATTTCTATTCTGTTCTGTTCTGTTCCGTTCCATTCCATTCCATTCCATTCTACTCTACTCTACTCTGTTCTGTTCTGTTCTGTTCTGCTCTGCTCTGCTTATATTTCATATTTCATAACCACCCAGACCCCTTTCTAAGGGAGATGGGTGGGTAAGAAATATGATAAATAAATGAATGAATGAACGAACAAACAAAGAAACAAACAAACAATAGAAGAATCCAGTCTGAAATTCTTGGGCGAGAAATAGCCACCATCCCACCCCTGTTTACAAAAGCTACTGCATGCAAACGTGAGCTGCCCCGTGCGAGAGTTAGCTCCCTCCTCTGTAGGAAAACCAGCAGCTGTGATTTCAAACACAAGCAGCTCTCTAACCATAAGGTTACAATTTATGTGCGTCTTAATTTATGTGGGGACTAGCTGGGGAGGGAGACTTTAAAAGCGTCTCAGACAACTTGGCAGCCGCTGTTTATTCAGGAGGGCCAAAACAGTTCGCCCATTTTCCCTGCTTTTATGGTCATATAAAAAGAGAGGACGCGCTATAAAGATAAATATCTATCCATCATCAATATAAAAGTGCCTTTAAAAACCCCACCCTGCCCTTCGCAGGCAGCTTTACTGCCTCTCTTTAAACCTGCACATCGAAATACGCACTGGCTTCGGTGAGGTTTATCGCCCTACACAGGTAGTCCTTGGTGGACTGTTCGAAGTTACAACTGCACTGAAACAAGAGGTGGAGGACCGTTTCCCATACTTGTGAGCGTTGCACCATCCTCGTGGTCCCGTGATCAAAATTCAGAGGCTTTGCAACTGGCATGTATTTATGACTGTTGCAGTGTCCCTGGGTTCGTGTGATCACCTTTTGCAACCTTCCCAAATTTTGCTCCTGACAAGCAAAGTCAATGATTCCCCCACCGACTGCAGTGCTTCACTTAGCGACTGTGGCAAAGCTTACTTAACAACTGCCTTGCTTACCAAGAGAAATGTTGGGCTCCGTTGTGTTTGCAACATGAGGACTACCTGTATTTCCATTCAGGCCAGACTGCAGAAGGTGAATTAAGACGTACAGGTAGTCCTTGATTCACGCCAACAACAACAACAATAATAATAATAATAAAGTTGGAAGGGACCTTGGAAGTTATCTAGTCCAACCCCCTGCTCAGGCAGGAAACCCTATACCATTTTGGACAAATGGCTGTCCAGTCTCTTCTTAAAAACTTCCAGTGTTGGAGCATTCACTGCTTCTGGAGGCAGGTAGTTCCACTGGTTAATTGTTCTCACTGTCAGGAAGTTTCTCCTTAGTTCTAGGTTGCTTCTCTCCTTGCTTAGTTTCCATCCGTTGCTTCTTGTCCTGCCTTCAGGCGCTTTGGAGAATAGCTTGACTCCCTCTTCTTTGGGGCAGCCCCTGAGGTACTGGAACATTGCTATCATGTCCCCCCTCGTCCTTCTCTTCATTAAACTAGACCAGTGGTGGCGAACCTTTTAGAGACTGAGTGCCCAAACTGCAACCCAAAACCCACTTATGCATCGTCGGGTGCCGAGTGGGTGTGGCCTATTGGGTGGGCGTGGCTGCGGTGATAACAGCAGACTGGGTGAGACTAAAAATTTCAATCAATCAATTCCAACTTTGCAAGATCTTTTCCTCCACCCCCAGAAGTTGAAATTGACTGATTGATTGAACCTTTTATTTTTTTGTACATGGTGGCGGAGGGCCAAAGCGGAAAGGTTTTATAAAACCCAGCTGAAGGCCTAGGACTGGGATGGCTCAGATACAGAGGGGTCTGAGTGCCGCCTCTGGCACCCGTGCCATAGGTTCGCCACCACTGAACTAGACATACCCAATTCCAGCAACCGTTCCTCATATGTTTTAGCCTCCAGTCCCCTGATCATCTTGGCTGCTCTTCTCTGCACTCTTTCTAGAGTCTCAACATCTTTTTTTACATCGTGGTGACCAAAACTGGATGCAGGATTCCAAGTGTGGCCTTACCAAGGCATTGTGAAGTGGTAAAAGACCTTTAGTCTTTTAAAAAGGAAACAGAAAGTCTCATTCTAAGAGTTGTGTGGATGTAGCGCACAGCACTCCTTGCCTATCCCCTGCCTGTCTAATACTGTCCTAAATCAGAATCTCCCCCTCTCTTGCCAAGGACTGTGAGAAAATTGCAAATATTCTTAAAAGGGAATAACTTTTTTTTTGTTCCAAGCAATTTCAGTGAAAGATGAGACAAGGAAATGGATGCGTTTTGCAATGTTTCCTTCTGGTTTCTTTGCCAACTGCAAAGAAAGAGGAATGCTTGGAAAGCATTTCACAATGTTGCGCAGAGGCAAAAGGGGACTTCAGAGGTCAGCTAGTCCACCCCCCCATAACACAGTTATTAAGTGAATCTGGCTTCCCCCATTGACTCTGCTTGTCAGAAGGTCACAAAAGGGAGGTGGGGGGTCCCATGAACCTCCGGGACATGGCAACCGTCATCAATACAAGCTAGTTGTCAAGTGACCAAATTTTGATCATGTGACCACGGAGATGCTGCGTTCGTCTTAGGTGTGAAAAAAAAGTCATGTGTCATTTTTTTTCTAGTGCTGTTTTAACTTTGAATGGTCCCCAAGCAAGCGGTTGTAAATTGGTGACTGTCTTTAACAGTTACTTTTTGGGGGGGGAATCTAGAGAACCTGAGAATTGATTGATTCATTGATTCAACTCCTGCTTTTAATAATAATAATAATGATGTAATACCATCAAACATCCACATCTGCCTATCCAAGATCCTTGGTAAGGACTCGATAGGTAGACAAAAATGTCAAATCCAGTCTGAACATCTGGCTGACTGTGCGATGATCAATAATAATAATAATAATAATAATAATAATAATAATAATAATACAGTTGGAAGGGACCTTGGAGGTCATATAGTCCAATCCCCTGCTCAGGCAGGAAACCCTATACCATTTCAGACAAATGGCTGTCCAGTTTCTTCTTAAAAACTTCCAATGTTGAAGCATTCACAGCTTCTGGAGGCAGGTTGTTCCACTGGTTAATTGTTCTAACTGTCAAGAAATTTCTCCTTAGTTCTAGGTTGCTTCTCTCCTTGGTCAGTTTCCACCTGTTGCTTCTTGTCCTGCCTTCAGGTGCTTTGGAGAATAGCTTGACTCCCTCTTCTTTGGGGCAGCCCCTGAGATACTGGAAGACTGCTATCATGTCCCCCTTGTCCTTCTCTTCATTAAACTAGACACAACCAATTCCAGCAACCGTTCCTTATATGTTTTAGCCTCCAGTCCCCTGATCATCTTTGTTGCTCTTCTCTGCACTCTTTCTGGAGTCTCAACATCTTTTTTACATTGTGGTGACCAAAACTGGATGCAGTATTCCAAATGTAGTCTTATCAAGGCATTGTAAAGTGGTATTAACACTTCATGTGATCTTGATTCTATCCCTCTGTTGATGCAGTCCAGCACTGTGTTGGCTTTTTTGGCAGCTGCAGCACATGGCTGGCTCATATCTAAGGGATTGTCCACTGGGACTCCGAGATCCCTCTCACAGTGGCTACTATTGAGTGGATAGATAGACTAAATGGTGTTAGTGGATAGACTAAATGATGTCTTGTCCACATTAATTTTGCATCTAGTCTATCTGTCCTTTTGCTATGAGGATCTTGAAGGTGTCTTTCATCCTTAAGACATTGCAATACAACGGTGTTACTCGACGGAGACAAAGTATCCGGCTTCTGATATGTTGAATGAACAAAACATAATAAAAGACACCAGCGTTCATGATTATGATCCACTAGCTGAAGTTTGCAGCAGCTTGCAAAGACTTTTTTTTTTTTTTTTACAAAGTTTGCTAGTTGTAAAAGGTGCTACAAGGTTACTGCTGGTGTTTTTGTTTCTCCATTTAAACTACTTCTGGGGGGGGGAACTTAAGGGAGGACATCCTGAGTGGGAGGCACCCTGACCCTGCAAAAGTAAACCGAGGGGCCCAAGAAATAAAAACAAGAGTCCTCTGCAAAACCCAGTGTAAGGAATGCAACGGCTACTGTGTAGGACAAATGGGCAGAAGACAAGCAGATCTCTGAACACTAACTAGTAGTCAGAAAATAGGAGTCAGGAGTTGTGACTGTTGGAGTTTTTTAAAGAAGAGACTGGACAGTCACTTGTCTGAAAACGCTAAGGGTCTCCTGCCTGGGCAGGGGGTTGGACTAGAAGATCTCAAAGGTCCCTTCTATTCTGATTCTGACAGGAGGAAAACTCCTTCATCTCATAACACAGTGTTTCTCAACCTTGACCATTTTAAGGCATGTGGACTTCAACTCCCAGAATTCCACAGCCAGCATTGCTGGCTGTGGAATTCTGGGAGTTGAAGTCCACATGCCTTAAAATGGTCAAGGTTGAGAAACACTGTAAAAATAACACATGAGAGACTCATCAGTTCTTGCCACTGGGAAACTGTGAGCATCCTCAACCAAGCCAAACCCCCCAAATACCAGGGAATTCCTGGAAGCCTGGCCCTCAGACCTCCATAGACACACAGAGATAAACCTTGTGTACACACCATTCAAAAGAGATTTTAAAAAGCTAAGAAGGAAAGCAAAGGATCAGAACACATCCTCTCCAGCAGCCCACACTCAGAGAAGCAGAGATTAGCACCAGACAAACAATCAAGCAGAAAGCAATGTCCTAATGGGGGAGGGCTATCCCAGAAAAAACTACACCCCCCACCAGTGGTGGGATTCAGCACCACTTTGGCAGAACCGGTAGCTAATTTTTTGGTTGCCCAGGCTCCAGAATGGACTTCCGGAAGCGGCATCCACACAGAGAACCGGTTGTTCCCCTATTTTGAATCTCACCACTGACCCCCACCGACACTGGCAGGGCAAGCTACTCTATGTAAACAGGCAGCACACCCCACACTCACTCAGCCTGATGATGTTACCTAGTCAGGTAATAAAAGCTGTGCAAGCAAACAACTAAACACCCCATAGAGATAACCTTTCAGAAAGTCAAGAAAATAAGTCCCAGTTGCCATGACTCAACTTTATCTAGACTAGCTGGATAACTGAGAATCTTCATCCACATGAACCCTTCAGAACATTCCTGTAATTGGGAGTGTTAGACATGACCACTTTTTCTGACGATGATCACCTTCAACCAGCAGAGTCTACTTCCAGTTAAAACGAATCTCATCTGATTCTCTTTTCTTAAACTCTCTGCTAATACTCACCTCCCTTGGTTTGGAATAAGCCTCTGTCCCCCCCCCCCACACACACACCCCTTGGGCTGCTCTGGATCTGCTAAGAAACAAGCCCCGCAAATACCTCTCACTCATCACACACACGCACAAGTGCAAGACTGAAAGAGAGAAAGAGAGAGAAAGAGAGAGAGAAAGTATAAAAGAGAGAAGGAAAAAGAAAAATCGAATAAGAGAGTGAGAGAAAAAGAGAGAGAGAGAGGGAGAGAGAAAGAGACAAAAAGTGTGAGAGAAAAAGAGCGAGAGTGAGAAATAAAGAAACGAATGAAAAAGAAAGAAAGAAAGAAAGAAAGAAGGAGGGAGAGGGAGGAAAGAGAGAGAGACAGAGAGAGAGGAAAGAGCTAGAAAGGGAAAGAGAGGGAGAGGGAGAAACAGAAAGAGAGAATAGTGAGAAAGAGACAGAAAAAGAGAGTAAGAGTGAGAAAGAGAAAAAGAGAGAGAAAGAGGGAAAGAGAGACAGAGAGAGAAAGAGACAAAAAGAGTGTGTGAGGGAAAAAGAGAGTGTGTGAGAAAGAAATAAAGAAATGAATGAAAAAGAAAGAAAGAAAGAAAGAAAGAAAGAAAGAAGGAGAGGCAGAGGGAGGGGGAGAGGGCAAAGAGAAAGAGAAAGAGAGGAAAGAGCTGGAGGGTGAAAGAGAGACAGAAAAGAGAGAGTGAGAGTGAGAAAGAAAGAGAGAAAGGGACAAAGAGAAAAGGTCAGAAAGAGAGAGAAGGAGAGAGATAGAGTGAGAAAGAAAGAGAAAGAGAGGGAGAAGGAGAGGGGGGGGCGGCGGCGGCTGGAAACAAAGTGTTTCTACCACTCTACAAATTGAAACCTTACGGCCGTCCGGAGCCCCTTTGCCAAGCGCTGATCCCCTGCAGGAGCGCCACCTCGCTCTCCCCATTCAACGATCGGCGGTTCTGTTCAAAGGCGCTTCTTCTTCTTCTTCTTCTTCGCTATTAAACAAGGACCAAATGTGTTCCCAGGAGGGGGAAGGGGGGGGGCTTTACACACACACACACGCACACACGCACACACACACACACACCGAGAGAGAGAGAGAGAGAGAGAGAGAGAGAGAGAGAGGCGCCCCCACTTACGCGCCCGGCAGCCGAGCTCTCCGATCGCACCAGCGCGGCGGCCAGCAGGCACAAGGCGGGCAGCAGCAGCGGCAGCATCCCGAAGCCAGCTTCTGCCCCGCGAAAGGAGCGCTCCGGTGGGGTGGGGGAACCTCCCGCCCGTCGGAACGGAACCAACCCGCGAAGGTCGAGGACGGAGGACGACCGAGAGGGGCTTCGTGAAGGGCGAAGGGGGAAAGCAAAAGCCCCGGTCCCAAATTGGCACAGGCGCTTTGCACACTCGGCTGCCCGGCGCGCTCGCTGCCTTTCCCCGCTGCCTGCCTGGCTGGCTGGCGGGTTGGCCGGCCGGGCTGGCGGAGAGGAGCGAGGGGCTGAGCCGAGCGGAGGGGCGGGGAAAGGCAGATCGCGGGAGGCAGGGAGCGGAGGAAGGAGACGGGGAGAAGAGGGGGGGTCCTCTTGACCCGCGGGCCGGAGCTGCTGAGCGCGAAGGCGGCTCTCTCTCCCTCCCTCCCTCCCTCTCTCTCTCTCTCTCTCTCTCTCTCTCTCTCTCTCGCCTCTCCTGTCTATTTTCTCTCTTCTCTCTCTCTTCTCTCTCTCTTCTCTCCCCTCTATTTCCTCTCTTCTCTCTCCTCTCTATTTTTTTCTCTTTCCTCTCTTTTTTCTCTCTCTTCTCTCTCTCTCTCTCTATTTCTTTTCTCTCTTCTCTCTCTCTCTCTCTTGTATCTCCTGACTATTTTCTCTCTCTTCTTTCTTCTCTCTCTATTTTTTCTCTCCTCTCTCTATTTTCTCTCTTTTCTCCCTCTCTATTTTTTCTCCTCTCTCTCTCTCTCTCTCTCTCTCTCTCTCTCTCTCTCTCTCTCTCCTGTCTATTTTCTCTCTCTTCTCTCTATTTTCTCTCTCTCTTCTTTTCTCTCTCTCTTCTTTCCCCTCTCTCTATTTTCCCCCTCTCTTCTCTCTCCTCTCTCTCTCTCTCTCTCTCTCTCTCTCTCTCTCTCTCTCTCGTCTCTCCTGTCTATTTTCTCTCTCTTCTCTCTATTTTCTCTCTCTCTTCTTTTCTCTCTCTCTTCTTTCCCCTCTCTCTATTTTCCCCCTCTCTTCTCTCTCCTCTCTCTCTCTCTCTCTCTCTCTCTCTCTCTCTCTCGTCTCTCCTGTCTATTTTCTCTCTCTTCTCTCTATTTTCTCTCTCTCTTCTTTTCTCTCTCTCTTCTTTCCCCTCTCTCTATTTTCCCCCTCTCTTCTCTCTCCTCTCTCTCTCTCTATTTTTTCTCTCTCCTCTCTCTATTTTTTCTCTCTCTTCTCTATTTTTTCTCTCTTCTCTCTATTTTTTCTCTCTCTTCTCTCTCTATTTTTTCTCTCTTCTCTCTCTCTCTCTCTCTCTCTCTCTCTCGTCTCTCCTATTTTCTCTCCTCTCTTCTCTCTCTCTATTTTTTCTCTTCTCTCTCTCTCTCTCTCTCTCTCTCTCTCTCTCTCTCTCTCTCTCGTCTCTCCTGTCTGTTTTTTTCTCTCTCTCTCTTCTCTCATCTCTCTCTCTCTCTTTTCCCTCCTCTCTCTCTCTCTCTCTTTTCTCTCTCTTCTCTCTCTCTCTCTTTTTTTTTTCTCTCTCTTCTCTCTCTCCTTTCTCTCGCCGGGCTCCTCCGCCTGTCCGGCTGCCTCTCCCGGCTTAACCTGCCCGCCCCCCCCCTAATAAAACCTCCGCCGGAGCGCCCTCCCTTCTCCGGAGAGCGACGTCAGGGAGCCCTTCCATAGCCGGCTGGAGTGGGGGTGGGAGTAGGGGGGGTGGATGGGTGAGTGGGGACGACTAACCGGGAGCACGTGCTCCGATGCCGTGGGGACTCGCCCCGCTCGCGCGACCCCCCCCCGGGGGACTCCCCCCCACCCTCCCCAGGAAGGTGGCAGAGGATCGGATGGGATCACGCCCGGGGATTCCTACTCCTTTGGAGGAGGGGGGGAGGACTGCTCCCCTTGGAATCCAGTCCTTCCAGACCTTTGCCCCTATCCCGAGGCTTCCCTGGATCGCTTGGTGAAAGGGCCTTGCTTGCCTTCGTGTAACCAGAGGGAAGTTGGGCTAGTCGATTAAAATCCATCCAATCCAATCCAATCCAATCCAATCAATAGTCAGTCCTGGAATAGATGGATTATTCCGATCAATCTATTACAGCCAGTCCTTGATTGATTTAGGACCACGAGGGAGCCCAGAAGCTCCGACGCTAACCAAGACAGTGGTTAAGTGGGTTTTGCCCCCGTTTTACCACACCTTTTTTGAAACCGCCGTTAAATGAATCACGGCAGTTCTCAAGTTAGTACACAGGTGTTCAGGGAATCCAGCTTCCCCATTGGCTTGGCTTGTCAGGTCGCAAAAGGGGATCGCGTGACCCCGGGATGCTGCAGCCGTCATAAATATGAGCCAGTTGTCTGAATTTTGATCATGTGACCGTGGGGATGCTGCAAGGGTCATAAGTAGGAGAAAGGGTCATAAGTCACTTTGTTCAGGTTAGGCTGTCCTTGACTTAGAATCATTCGTTCAGTGGCCATTCAAAATTATGACAGCATCTTTAAGAAAACAACCAAACTCAAAGAGCACTAACACTGATGATGTTACCTAGTTGGGTAATGAAACATCTTCAAGAAAACAACCAGGTTCAGAGAGCACCAAGGACCTCACAGCTGTCCTCCTCCTCCTCCTCCTCCTCCTCCTCCCTACTCCTCCTCCTTCTCTCAAAAAAGCCCGCTCCCTTCTAGCACTGATGATGTTACCTAGTCAGGTAATGAAACGTCTGCAAGAAAACCAGCAAACTCAGAGAGAACCAAGGACCCCACAGTCCTCCTCCTCCTCCTCCTCCTCCTCCTCCTCCTCCTCCTCCTCCTCCTCCTCCTCCTCCTCCCCCTCCCCCTCTCCCTTCTAGCACTGATGACGTTACTTAGTTGGGTAATGAAACATCTGCAAAAAAACAACCAAGTTCAGAGAGCACCAAGGACCTCACAATCTTCCTCCTCCTCCTCCTCCTCTTCCTCTTCCTCTTCCTCCTCCTCCTCCTCCTCCTCCTTGCACTGATGATGTTACCTAGTTGGGTAATGAAACATCTGCAAGAAAACCAGCAAGCTCAGAGAGAACCAAGGACCCCACAGTCTTCGTCATCTCCTCCTCCTCCTCCTCCTCCTCCTCCTCCTCCTCCTCCTCCTCCTCCTTCTCCTCATACACACTCCCTCCGAGTACTGATGATGTTGCCTAGTTGGGTAACGAAACGTCTGCAAGAAAACAACCAAGTTCAGAGAGCACCAAGGACCTCACAGTCTTCTTCCTCCTCCTCCTCCTCTTCCTCTTCCTCCTCCTCCTCCTCCTCCTCCTTGCACTGATGATGTTACCTAGTTGGGTAATGAAACGTCTGCAAGAAAACCAGCAAGCTCAGAGAGAACCAAGGACCCCACAGTCTTCGTCATCTCCTCCTCCTCCTCCTCCTCCTCCTCCTCCTCCTCCTCCTCCTCCTCCTTCTCCTCATACACACTCCCTCCGAGTACTGATGATGTTGCCTAGTTGGGTAACGAAACGTCTGCAAGAAAACAACCAATTTCAGAGAGCACTAAGGACCCCACAGAAAGACATTCCGTATGGAAGAAATTAAGCTTTAGATCCTCATCTTCCCAAATGCTTTTCCTTTTCCAAATCTGGGTTGGTTCATTTCCGCTGAAAGTTAATAACTGCAGTCACTTTCCTAAAGTGCGCGCTTTAAATAATATTTTTGCTTCATGCTCTCTCTCTCTCTCAGACAATGTTCCAGTAGATTAAAAATCATTCTCCTATCAAAAATGTTCCAGCACATTAGAAATCATTAGAATTTACTTTTTTTTCCAACCAACCTTAAAATTGTTTAAAAGTTGCCAAGACTTCCATGGGGTTGTGAAGTTTAGCGGCTCAGCAACTTGTATTCCTTCTGAAAGCCATAGCATGGAATTTATGGCTGAGATTTAAGAGCATAGTAAATAAAGCTAGAGTTTTCAGATTTTGGTTATAGTCAGTATAATATAAATTAATCAAAGAGCAGGTGACTGAACTACAAGATGTTCTTAGGAAATACATTTCCCGTTTAATACAGCATAGCACTGAAGGCAAAAGATTTACACAATATGAAGAGAAGCCGGAGAACTTTCTTACAGATTTTCTGTTTTGTTGCTGACCTTATTCCAGGTACCATTCTCATTCCTTTTCTACAGCACTGAATGTATATATTTTAAGATTAAAGCTGTGTGCTCTCTGAGCTTGATTGTTTTCTTGGAGACCTTTCATTACCAACCTAGGTAATATCATCAGCACTGGAAGGGAGGGGAGGCTGTATTTTTTATTAACAAAATTTTATTAAATTTATATAGGTAAGGAAAAATACAGGTATGGTAAAGGGAAGGGTAAAAAGGAAAGGGGGAGGGGAAGGAAATAAGGGATTAGGGTAAAATAAGAATAGGTACAATCACATATTTCAAGAAACAAGCAACCGTCCGGTTCGTAATAATGAGTAAGTATCATATTCAACCATTTTTAACAAAGCTTAAACTGTAATATATTAAAAATAATTAGTAAACAAATACGTTGATCTATTATGTGAACACTACTAATAAAATCACAAAACAAAACAAGACAAAAAAAATAAATAAAATAAAAAAATAAATCCTAACAATCAAAAGTAACAAATGAAAATCATTAAGTCAGGAAAAGTAATCGTATCATCAAAATGTTAGTTAGAACTCGATTAAAAATCAGTCATCTATTCTAAAATATTAAATCCTTCAAGTTCTAACGTGTCTCTAACCATTGATAAATTTTTTTCCCAAGTTCTAAAATAAGTTGAATCATCTTTTTCTTTCATTTCTAATGTTAGTCTATCCATTTCTGATGATACAGGCTGTATCATCAATACAGCCTGTATTTCCTGCAATACAGGCTGTATTGATGACATTACCTAACTGGGTAATGAAATGTCCGCAAGAAAACAACCAAGTTCAGGAGCACCCCGCAGTTCAACCTTGAGATACCAATACTTCTTGTATAGGATTACAGTTCAAATGTTTCCTTCCTTCCTTCCTTCCTTCATTCCTTCTCCCTCCCTCCCTCCCTCCCTCCTTATTTTTTTCTCAAAATTTGATTTTGTTTATCTCTGGCGAAATTGGTCCGTCTCCGAACATGGAAGAAAGGAGTGGAATCTCTAAATCAGTGATGGCGAACCTTTTAGAGCAGTGTTTCTCAACCTTGACAATTTTAAGGCATGTGGACTTCAACTCCCAGAATTCCACAGCCAGCAATGCTGGCTGTGGAATTCTG